TTATGCACCAGGGTAAAAGTTCGGTTGGTCCAGATGCTCAAGAAGATCATGCTTACCCCTTTGCAGGGGCTGCTAATGTCAAAGTGCGCCTTGGAGTTGTTTCTTCCCATGGAGGAGAAATAACTTGGATGGATCTCCTATGTGGAGAACCAAATAGTATCCATGGTGATGAAGAATATCTTGCTAGAGTAAACTGGATGCATAATAGTGCTATTGCTGTTCAAGTTCTCAATAGAACTCACTCAAAACTTAAGCTACTTAAGTTTGACATCGCTTCAGGTAAAAGGGAGGTCATACTAGAGGAAGAGCATGATACGTGGATAACATTGCACGATTGTTTTACTCCTCTGGATAAAGGAGTGAATAGTAAACATCCAGGTGGATTTATTTGGGCCAGTGAGAAGACAGGATTTAGACACCTGTATCTTCATGACAAGAATGGTGTGTGCTTGGGGCCCCTCACACAAGGTGATTGGATGATCGACCAAATTGCTGGTGTCAATGAGAGTTCTGGAGTTATATATTTTACAGGCACATTGGATGGGCCATTGGAGACAAATCTTTACTCCACCAACCTATTTCCGGATTGGAGCCTTCCCTTGCAAGTCCCCAAGAGGTTGACTCATGGCACAGGACGTCATTCAGTAATTCTTGACCATCAGTTGCTGAGGTTTATTGATGTGTATGACTCAATAAAATCTCCACCTGTGATCCTGCTATGCTCTTTGCTTGATGGAAGTGTGATAATGCCTCTATATGAGCAGCCTCTGACTGTTCAGCCGCTTAAAAAGTTTCAGCAGCTGTCTCCAGAGATAGTACAGATTGAAGGAAAGGATGGGACTGCTTTATATGGAACTCTTTATCTCCCTGATGAGAAAAAATATGGACCACCCCCATACAAAACACTCGTTAACGTTTATGGCGGTCCCAGTGTCCAGCTTGTAAGTGACTCATGGATAAGTACAGTTGACATGAGAGCTCAGTTCCTGCGTAGTAAGGGTATATTAGTTTGGAAGGTAACTATTCTTTCCTCTATTTTTTTTTCTTTGCTCTTTGTTTAACAAGATAGATTCCGATTGAGGATTTTTTTTTTCTGTTTTCACTTTGGTCCATAATGTCACCAATCTTAAGGTATGCTGTGCAATGCATTGCATGGGTAAAATTCTAAACTAAAAATGATTTTAAATAAACTTATGGCCAAGATAGCACCATTTAATTTCTTTTTGTTTAACAAGGTATGCTGTGCAATGCATGGCATCTCATCCATTAATTTTTCCAAAGCACATCAGTATGTCATTTTGAGAGTTAACATGGACTCAACCTCAGATAATGCAATAGTGCATTCAAGCATAAAATTTGCGTTGAGTCAGAAATATTAGCACCACTCCACTAAGCTAATAAGGGTTCCTGCGTCCACAACTATGTCTGGAAAATATTGGCGCCTGTAACCTTCCTGTCATTAGGAATTAGCAAAACATTACAAGTGTCCAAAAAAGCCCCATGTAATTATCCTAAGTGACGTGTGGGTTGAAAAGCCCAATACAATCCAGCAGCCAATATTTTTTATTGTAGTAATGTCTGTCAGTTGCAAGCAAACAATTATACTACCCCCTATCCCTAGCGACTATGGCAAGTGGTAAGATTGATGATACAATCCATCATGACTAACCATATTGCTTCTTGAGCAAAAATAATCTAAAGTTTTAAGGTGGGAATTTTGAAGTGGAAGCAAAATGTTTTGGAACGGATGTTTCTATAATCATATATTTACATGAGTTTTTTTTTTTGCTTAGAATTATTCATATATGATAAATTTATGCTGGCTGCTATATGCCTATATATTTCCGCATTTGTTGATTGCTCATTATGGAGTATAATCATATGCCTATATATTTCCGCATTTGTCACTACATTTATCATTGGGCTCATGAGCCATGGCAATACAAGTTGTTTGTAACACTGAATGACTGACTGTCTCCTGGCAGATGGACAATCGAGGAACCGCAAGACGCGGTTTGCAGTTTGAGGGACAGCTCAAATACAACATCGGTCGTGTCGATGCTGAAGATCAGTTAGCAGGTGCCGAGTGGCTAATAAAGAAAGGCCTAGCAAAACCCGGACATATAGGTCTCTACGGCTGGAGCTATGGTGGCTTTCTCTCGGCAATGTGCCTCGCGAGATTTCCCGACACGTTCAGTTGTGCAGTTTCTGGCGCTCCGGTGACAGCATGGGATGGGTATGACACTTTCTATACCGAGAAGTACATGGGTCTGCCCTCGGAGCAGCGCGACGCTTACAGATACGGGTCGATCATGCATCATGTGAAGAACCTCCGAGGGAGGCTGCTGCTGATCCACGGTATGATAGACGAGAACGTGCATTTCAGGCACACGGCGAGGCTCATCAACTCGCTGATGGCGGAGGGGAAGCCCTACGATATCCTCCTCTTCCCCGACGAGAGGCACATGCCGCGCCGGTTAGGGGACCGGATCTATATGGAAGAGAGGATCTGGGATTTTGTAGAGAGGAACCTGTGAATGTGAAGAGAGGAAGAGAGAGAGAGAACTACCTGTGGTGTATAAATCTTTTGCTCGCTGTGGGCATGACTTGGGATGTTGTTACAGTATGTTGAAGCTATTTCATTTCCATCATCATCATCTGTAGTTATCCGCAGACTCCAGGGATATGATTCTTTTGGCTGTGATAAGGATGGCAGATAGATGTTAATTTCACATTGCCTTTCTCTTTCACCCACAGCTTGGTGTGTGTGACGTGGAATGTAATTACTGCTGCTCTAGAATGCCGGAATTTTGTGGTATATTTCCAGTAGGAATCAAGAAAATTTTTATTACGGCAGGAAAGCACTAGTACATAACGTTACAGGTTGCACTGGCCAAACCAAACCTTCGGTGTCGATTCATGCTGATCGATCTGTGCCGGTCGTAACTCGTATCCACGATTTCAACTAGTCGGTCGTCTTCAATATTTACGCCAAGACTTAAACTATAAACATACTTCCAACCCTAAGTTTATACTTCCAACCCTAAAATAAGTTTATTCTTCATTCATCTCACACGTACCAATACAAAAACTAAAATACCTTCACTTTATCAAATCTCAATAAAATTATTTCTCCTTTTGTTTACTCCCAATCCATTTATCTCTTACCTTCATAAACTTCGATGTAATGATTATTAAAAGATAACTTATTTTGTGACAAACCGAAGGAGGTAGCCTAGTATCGGATTTGCCTACTATTACGAATCTGGACATATCATTCTTCAAATTCATGGCATTGGCAGTCCAAAATTGTTATATATTGGGATGGATAGAGTATTTTCTAGAATTCTTCACAGGAGCCCAGGAACATCCATGGCATTGGCAGCAGCTTGACTGCTTGTCGTTGTTGTTTCAAGATCCTTTCTGCGAACTTGCTTGTTACTTTAGTGTCTTAAAATATATCAACTTTTAGCATTTAAAATTTATTCTAAAATATAATAATTTCACCACATATATTCCATTATCAACTAATCACAATCTTTCACCATTCAAATTCTTCACCTACTTTTTCTTCCTAATCAATTACAAATTTCTCCCATTTAATTTATGTACTTTCTTCAAGCGCTAGCAAAGAAGAATTAGGCTGTGTTCTTCCCCCACATTTCCCAACTCACCTCCCACGTATTCCGCACGCATATTTTTCAAACTGTTAAACTGTGTGTTTTTGTAAAAGATTTGTATATGAAAGTTGCTTTAAAAAATCATATCAATCCATTTTTTAAAAAAAATATTAAATACTTAATTAATCATAAGAAAATGCGTCGCTCTGTTTTGCGTGTGTGGGCCTCACCTCTCGAACACAGGCTTAGAAATCAATCGTTGTAATATTTGTTTTCTTGGTATATAATCCTTGTTTGGGGATCATTGTGCAATGGTTGCATTGTAAACATTTCGATCTACATAATTTATAGGCTTATAATATGACACCTTTGGATGTATCATTTGTAACTCCGAAGTTTCACAAGATTTTTTTTACCATTTTCATAGGAAACTATTCAATTATTACCAATCGGAAAAAACTTCATGTTCCCTTATAACGCAATTCTTATATTTCCTTTTCTATTTATCTAGAATTAGAACCCAACTTGGGTTTTCACTTTTCACAAGCGCATGTTATAGAGTACCACCGTCAAGAGCGTTGGAGCATACCCGAGTTTACTTCCTCCATTTTCATATTAAAGTGTTTTACCGAAAATAATATACAAACGACCGGAGCGTCCGACTTTTGGACAACGACGTACGCGGCATCAGCAACATGCTATACGTCACATGAAGCCTCACGCCATCATGTACTGTGCTGCTTTGCCGTTTCGATTGTACACCGATCGAATGTAGAAGTTGTACATATAGCAGGGTTCGTGTTTTACAAAAACTTCTAAAGTATTTGTTATTTTCAGAAAAGATCTACTAGCGATTTTGAAACGAGCAATGTCTAATGTCAACTACTCTCTTATTTTTCATATTATAAGTTATTTTGATTATTTTCCTATTTAAATATAGAAAAATTTAACAGCATCTAAAACATGAAATTAGCTTTATTAAAACTAATATTTAATATAAAATATGTTTGTTTTGTATTAAAAATATTACTAAATTTTTCTATAAATTTTGTCAAACTTAAATAAGTTTAACTAGCAGAAATAGTCAGCCTATAAAAGCTCATAAAATTTCAAATTCGAAATACAGTAGGACCTAATGGCCCCAGCTCACCGTTGGCCTGACTTGCAAGTTGCAACCCCGGGTTTCTTTTTTTGTAAGTCATTCATTACTGGAAACAAACAGACAATTAATTAATTAATAATTATAATTAATTACCGGAGTTACTTATTCTAAACAGTAACCGACTCCTTTCCAACGTGTTCCCCACGAAGCCGGCAACCCGAAGCCAAAGCCACCGCCTTCCAACTCCAAATCCAAATCCAAATCCTACTTAAGTTAAAATCCCACTCCCACCACGGCACCACGCTAAGCTAAACCCACACCACCTCGCCCAATTAAACCCTCACCCATTCTTTTTCTTTTCAACAATTCTCTCTCTCTCTCTCTCTCTCTCTTCCGAAGGGCGGAGCAGTTGATCGGCTCCGGCCACCGCCAATCCGCGCCTCCGCCGTCGTGGTAAGATGATCCATTCGTTCTCCGATTCACTTTCCGCGATTTCTCCCTCCCGCGGGAGCGATTTGGTTCCTGTGTTATTGATGGGTAGGATCGATGAGGAAGTGGTGCGATTTTTTGGATTCGGGTTTGTGTTTCTAACGCGTGTTGGCAATGGCGATCGATCGTAGACTGCGCGACTTCGGAAGCGGAATCTCGCGGGGGTTCGCGGCCCGTCGGAGGCCGAGGCGGAGGCGGAGGCGGAGACGGAGAAGGGAGGCTGGGAGGCTTCGTCTTCGCGCCTCCTCGGATCCAATCTGTTTATATCAATTCCGGTGAGGGGTCTCTCTGTTGCTTGTGCTGTTCGAATCCCCTGGCCGAACTCGAGTTCCTACTCGATTTATATTTTTTTCTTCTTTTTTTTTTTTTGAACTTCTACAGATGCTGTGCTGCTGCGCCATTGGAGTAGTAGCAGAGACGATCCTGCCGCCTCTGCACGATTCCTTCGGTTCGGGTGCGAAATGCTCAGATTGTTGCTATGTGGTTTGCTGAAATTGCTGCTTTGAGTACCACGATTGCTCACCTAGGGTTTGATGATTTGTTTCTCTTGAATGTGCAGGGTTGAACGCATTGGGGGCCAAGAAGGGATTATAGGCGCATTGGTGTCAAGCGGTGGCCCCTAGGGTTTCCTTGTTGATAGGAGACCCTAGGGTTTGTTTTTTCATCAATGGGTCACATCCACTAATTCATAGTGCAAATAGCTGCTTCTCTAGTGCTGGTGGCTGTGCACTTGTGCTTGTTGCATCAGTAGCTTTGGCTGCCTTGGCTGTGTTGCTTGAGATCAGCAAAGATGTCGTCAGCCGGTATAGCCACACTGAGCCCCCTGCTGGACCAGTTTTGTTTTGCGCCCCATGGCGAGCCCCGGTTGCAGCAGCTGGATTCTATTGTCATTTTTCTTGCCATGCCAGGGGTGGCACCCATGCCAATGCGTGTCCTGCACTCAGACTCTGTTGCCTCGGTCAAGCTCCGCATCCAGCAGTTCAAGGGCTTTGTCACTACCAAGCAGCGGCTGGTGTTCAGTGGGCATGAGCTGTCACTAAACAACTCCCATGTCAGGGATTATGGACTTACCGATGGAAATGTGCTTCATCTTGTCGTGCGGTTGGCTGACCTCCGTGCGATAAGCATTGAGACTGCCAATGGGAAGAAATTTCAGTTCCAGGTGGAGAGTTGCTGCAATGTTGGGTATCTCAAGGACAAGCTCTCAGCTGAGAGTGGACAGCAACTTGGGAGTCTCAAGGACCAAAGGCTTGTGTTTGACGGTGAAGAGCTTGAGGATAACCAATTGATTGCAGATATTAGCAAGAAGGGTGCTGCAGTTATCCACTTGTTCATCCGCAGGCCAGCAAAGGTTCAGACACAGCAGGGTGATAAGGAAACTGTTGTTACAGTTGTTACTCCCAAAGACAATGATAACCTCCAAACAGATGCTTTGAACCTTGCGAAACCAGCTAAGGGTAAACCTGCTCCAGTTGAGCCAATCATTGCTAATGGAAAGGTGAAATTGTCTCCTGCTGTGATGGAAATGATCTACTCAACAATTTCTGGTATAGAAAACGGGTACCTTCCCGTGATGTCAACAGAGGGTTCAGGGGGAGTCTATTTCATGAAGGACTCTTCAGGTGAAAGCAATGTTGCAGTATTCAAGCCTATTGATGAGGAACCAATGGCAAAGAATAATCCCAGGGGCCTTCCTTTGTCAACTGATGGTGAGGGGTTGAAAAGGGGAACGCGAGTAGGGGAAGGTGCATTAAGGGAGGTTGCAGCATATATTCTTGACCATCCAGTTTATGGATGTAAATCGTGTGATGTTCCTGGATTTTCTGGTGTACCACCCACAGCGTTGGTCCGTTGTTTCCATATGGGGAAGGGATCTAATAAGGTTGGATCATTGCAGCTGTTTGTAGATAACAATGGCAGTTGTGAGGATATGGGCCCTCGAGCTTTCCCAGTTAAAGAGGTTCAGAAGATTGCCATACTGGATATTAGGTTGGCAAATGCTGATCGTCATGCTGGGAACATATTAGTGTGCCAAGATGGAGAAGATCACTTGAAGTTGATTCCAATTGATCATGGGTACTGCCTGCCAGAGAAGGTATTTGATCATTGCTATCATGTGAAACAATTGTATTTATGTTCACTCGCTTGAATTGGTAAACTTAAACTGCTATTTTTGTCCTTAGCATAGTAATTAGAGATCCCTAGTAATTATTTAGTGTTGTTGGAAGTTTAAACAATGTCAGTAATATCCTCGTATTTTCTCAATGTTTTTGTCTATGTTAATGTGACAATTTCGGCACTGATCCAGTAAACAAGGCCGTGTGTCCTTAATATTCATTTGATTTGAATCATTGTTAGCTGGCATTATTTTTGTACAAGTTAATTCCTTGTATGCTATCTTGCTTAGTTCAATCAATTTTTCTGTACCAGTTTACGAGTCTTTACCTTTTCCCCTTTGCAGTTTGAAGATTGTACCTTTGAGTGGCTCTACTGGCCCCAAGCCCGCGAACCCTTCGGTCCAGAAACCGCAGCATACATTGGATCACTAGATGCTGACAAAGACATTGCGCTTCTCAAGTTCCACGGGTGGGCGCTATCTCCCCAGTGTGCCCGAGTTCTGCGCATCAGCACAATGCTTTTGAAGAAGGGGGCAGAGAGAGGCCTAACGCCTTATGACATCGGCAGCATCTTATGCAGGCAAACAGTCAAAAAAGAATCTGAAATCGAGGCCATCATAGAGGAAGCAGAGGATGCCATCCTTCCAGGAACTAGTGAGGAGACATTCTTGGAGACCATCTCGGAGATCATGGACTTTCACCTTGATAAGCTTGCTGTGAAGTTAAAGAAGTTCTGAATAACTGATCGAGTTACTCGAATTGTGCCCGGTTGTAAGTATGTATCGTAGTCACTAAATGAAATAACGAGTTTGGCCGTTGAACTCATTACCGTGGAACATTTTGTGAATATAACAAGGATCATCCACTTTTTTACCTGTACTTGTAATGTAGACTGTAGTTGCATCGAGTGTTCTTTCTGCTTGGTAATTTCAGCAAAACCTAGCACCTGAGAAGCTTGTTTGGATCATTGTCAATGTAAACCTGTTTAAAGTGTTGGCATTGCCAAATCCTGAGAACAATGTTTGGATCATTGTCAATGTAAACCTGATGAAAATGTTTGGTGAGGGTTGTTTGGTTTGCTGCCAAAATTCCACTTGGAAATGTGTTCACACTACATTTCAATTTGCTTACCAATATTTTGGCAATGCCACCTTTTTTTTTTTTGAAAGGGAATGCCAATTATTTGGCAACAAATTAATTGGATTGCCAACTTTTTTTTTTGGTATTATTAAGATTGGGTAAGAACCAAACAGCTCTAGAGATTGCAATGTCTTCTTCTATCATGCTGGACTGAACATGAAGAGCTAAAGCATTTGCTTTTATGCAACCGTAACCATTTTTCTATTCTCGCAGGCATTGACTGGTATGGTTCCTGTGTTATTTTAGAAGATCTGATTCATGATTGAACTGTCCCACTATCTTAAAATTTTCTGTGATACTATATATATATGGACCAAGCGTTGAGTAGAAGTATAAATAAAACCAAGGAATCAAACGAAAAAACCGCTTGTCATGAGATCTCGGGAGTGAAATGGTCCTGTTAATGCGGGTAAATCTCAGCTCAGCGTAAAATTTTGGGGCAAAGGACAAACGTTGCAGTTCGGTTTTCAACCAACCTAGCTCAAGGCTGGTGGTAATCATAAGCAACAGTATGCCTCAAGATGTAACATATTGTTGCGACAAACATTGAACTTTAACACTATTACCACCGGAGTTTTCAAGTCTCCACAATCAGAATACAGTACACACTCAGCATGGGAGGAGACCGCAAAATTGCATTAGCTAGCGAGTACACAACAATTTCACATAATGTTTTTCAGTGTTCGTTTTCAAAATTTCCTTTCACTGGATGTTCCACTTCTGCTCGAGAGCACTGCATATTCGATTCAAACAGCAGGCAGCACTGAGAGGGTAATTGCAAACTGCAAGAACAATGTGCAGAATATCAACACGAGTCAAACGAAACCATCTGAAGACAATGGATATCAACACAAGTAAAAGGAAAAAAAAATCTGAGACTGTCTATATTTACATAAGTCACAAAGGAAAAACATTTTTTTACGAACTAAAGAAAACATCTTTGAGACAGTAAATGCACGCAACATTCCAGGCATCTCAGGAAAGGCAACAGGGCATTTGTGTTACAGAGCTAGATTGTAAACCTGTCTTACAAATGAGCGAGCATATGATAAATGCAACTTGCTTGAAACCTTTATGTAATAATATTTTTAACAGCTACTTCCTCCGTTTCACAATGTAAGACTTTCTAGCGTTGTTCGCATTCATATAGATGTTAATGAATCCAGGCATATATATGTGTCTAGATTCATTAACATCTATATGAATATGGGCAATGCTAGAAAGTCTTACAATATGAAACGGAGGGAGTAGACAATAACAAAAGAATGCAGCAAATAGATGATATCACCATGATCCTGCAAACTGTTTGCTCTAACTCTAATTTTAATTGAAGGTAACTTACTTTGTATGTAATCATCTGAGTATTCGTTGTCAATCTTTCCATGAGCCATAGCACCTACCTGAAATCATGTGCAGACTATAAGAGATGGACCAGGAAGAAAGAATGGAACAAAAAATAAATCAACTCGACGGCATAGCTTAACTCACCACAAACACAAGGGGTACATCGTCACTGGATTTGGCAACATAGTCAAACAAATTGACTGACTTCTCAGCACTATATGAAAGACCTAAGTATAAAAAAACTCATGAATTAGCAACAACCAACAGTGGACCATTACCTGATGCCCTGATCAAGAAAAATGTGCTACTAAATGTTCATTGGGTCACGAATTATACTATTTGACCTAGCTAAAAGTGCATCTTTGCAGGTATATTTTACAAATACTACTTTATGTTGTGATTCTCATAGGAAAAAAATGAGTAGAAATTCTCTACACAAAACTAGTAAACGAGGTTCTGGAAAATTGTATGTCATGACATTCAGTTCTCAAAATTTTGGTTTCTGTCATCCAAATTTAATCCTAGTCTAACCAAAGATGATTTTAGGATGTTACTCTAGCTAGTTTAAGGAACTCTGGATTTACTTATACCTAAGATTAACACTACCACTAAAAGAATATGGATTCTTACCAATCTTCTTTGCTCCAACTGGTAGATAGCGGGTGACTGGATTTTTAATGACATTAAGAAGCTTCTCCCGCTTTCCAACTGCTGTAATGCTCAACTTCTGCAATAATTGTGCTGCAATATTGTAGAAATACTTCATCAGCACAGTTCACAGAAAACACTAAAAACACAATATATGTGCAATTACAGCCATTATTAACTTACACATTAAACCGCAAAAACGTTTGAATGTACGTGGCATGCGGACGTAAGGCTTGATTTCAAACAATACTCCCTTTTCAGTCCTAACATAAACAGCTTGTAACCTCCCAGCTTTAGTTAGTGGGCTATCAAATATTGCAAGAAGAGCCTGCAAAATATTAAGAATACAAATTATGTTGGCTTTGAGAAAGCAGGTATAAAACAAATGAGAGAAATGAATGACTGGCTTGAACAATTTCTTTTTCATTAATCACTTAGATGTTCTTTGTAAAATCACCACGAGGCTCTTTCAAGAATGACTTCATTCTGGTGTTATGTGCACAGCACCAACTACAGAAATCAGCTACTACTTCTGTCCCAAAAAGAATGCATTTCTAACTATGCACCTGATAAGAGTATGTCTAGATGCATAGCCAGAATAACATTCTTTTTGGGACGGAGGTAGTATCCTTTACCAGAGGGGCCATTCTGTGGTTAGCCCCCAAAAGTGAGGAGGTAAATGCCATGGAATGTATATATCCTCAATAGGGGAAGCCAAAATAGAACACAGATAATGATGTGGTACGGAATGATTTCAAACAGAAAATTGGATGTCTGCTTTCGTTCAGTTTCAAACAGGGGTTGTACAGATGTGAGAGAGGACAGGCTTTAATCATGTGCCATTAATCCCTGGGAGCTCCGGAAATACAAGAAATTCGAAATACCTGGTGAATGATATCAGGCCTGTAATCAGCTGGATTCCTGTTTTGCTTCCTCAAATAATTAGCATGGTCATCCGAGTTCAGGATTTGCATAGTCTACACAAAGAGTCAAAAGAATCGTCAAAAATATCATTCGTGCAGCTTAAGCTCTTCAATCATCAGAGCTACAGACTGATATGTTCAGATACAATATAGCTAACAAAGAATTGTCAAAAGTATCATTCGTGTAGCATTAAGCTCCTCAATCATCAGGTATACAGAATGATATGTTCAGATACAATACAGCTAACTCGTTAACAAAGTATACAGCTGAATTATCTTCTAGCGCAAACAAATTTATCAAGATAAGCATAAGAACAGAACTAATCCAACTATCCAAACTGTACATCCAAAGCCAGAAACGGATTGGTCGAAAAAAAAGCGCAAGAAAAAGGTGTAATAAATTTGTTGGCGAAGCTTCGCCCCATACCTTGCCGACTTTGCCGACCTCGAGGCAGGCCCTCTCGAGCACGAAGATCGCGCCGGGCCGCCGCTTCCCGTCCACCGGCCGTGGCACGACGGGTAGCCCATCAGCAACCTCCCCGGCCGCCGCCGCCGCCGCCACGTCCTCCTCCTTCCCCTCCTCCTCCTCCACCCCCTCCGGCGGCGGCAGCTCCTCCGCCGCCTCTTCGTCGACCGGGGGCTCGCGGGAGGCCCCGCCGTCGTCGAGCTTCCGCTTCTTCTTCCGCCCCTTCACCGCGTACGGCCGCCCCATCGGTCTCCTCCTTCCTCTCGCCGCCGCTCGCACGCGTTGCAGTGGTGTGGTGGGGTTTCGAGGGGGAGGAAAGCTAGGGTTTTTGGAGAGGGTGGCGGCGATTTCTTCTTCGTCCGGAGGTAAATACTGCGAGTGATGTGAGCCACTCATCCAATTAATGGACAGCTGAGACTTTTTGGCAAAATAAATTTGTATAATATTTAGAAGGAGAAAACTAGAACTAAATTTGTATAAGTATTTAGGCTTAGGGTGTGTTTGGTTCACAGTCAAGGTTGGATGGGATATGACGAGCCAGTTTTTTGTTTGGTAGAGTGAATATGGCAATCCAGTCTTTTGTTTGGTTCCAGGGATGAAGATGGATTTGGTGATCCATTTTTTTGTTTGGTTAGAAGGAGTAGGATGGATGAGTGGTTACAATCACCTCATCATTAGAGGTGGTGAGTATACCCCTTCAAATTCACCAAACTAAAAATTATCAATGTACTGCAAAATAAAAAATCTAAAGAGAAATAAAAGGGGAAAAAGGAGAAAAAAAGAAAAAAAGTTGGTCCTTCTTGCTCTTCACGCCGGCCGCCGCCTCACCTTCTTGCACGCCGGCCGCCGCCTCGCCCGCTCCTCTCAACGGCCGCCGCCCTGCTCCTCTCGACGGCCGCCGCCCCGCCTTCTCGACCGCTGGCCTCCGCCCCACCTCCTTCCCCACCGGTCTCCGCCACGCTCGTCTCACCTCTCCTCCAGATCCGGTTGTCGCCGTCGTTTCCTTCTACACCGGCCGCCACCCCGTCTCCTTCCCCACCGGCCGCTGCCCCGTATCCTCCAAATCTAGTCGTCGCCGTCGTCTCCGTCCCCACCGGTCGTCACAGTCGTCCCCGTCTCCTCCGGTCGTCGTCGTCGTCTCCGTCCCCCCACCGGTCGTCATCGTCGTCGTCGTCTCCTTTCCTCCTCCCGTTGCAGCCGCCTTTGGGCTTGCCGCTGCCGTCCCCTCATCCTTATTCCGTTGCCGCCGCCGTGCACCGGGTCGCTGCCACCGCCGCCTCCTTCATCCCGCTGCCATCGCCGCTTACCCACATCGCTGTTTCGCATGGTGAGAAGGGTGACACGACCCACGTCGTCGCTCGCCCCGCTCACCCGAGCGCTCGGGCGGCTCCATCCGGCCAAATCGGCCAGATACCACCATCCGGCATCTAGAGGGAATATTCCCCTCCGGGCCGCCCTATCCCACTTCCGCCCACCAACCAAACACCCACAAATAATGGGCCGCCATGTCCTATCCACCCAAATCCCTCCATCCAAACACACCCTAAGCTAAGGCTGGCAACCTTTCGTACTAGCACATAAATCGAAACGATCCATTAACGCATAATTAATTAAGTATTAGCTTAATAAACTTAAAAAATCAATTAATATGGTTTTTTAAGCACTTTTCTATAAATATTACTTTTAAAAAATGCATTGTTTAACCGTTTGGATAGCGTGTGTATGGAAAACATTAGAGTCAAGTTAGGCAATTGTTCCGAACGTAGCCTTAGAAGGAGGTGACTATATTCAAACTCCCTTCATCCAAATTTAATCATTATATATTAAAAAAGCTGGATCTTCACAATGTTCAATTGTCACATTTGAATTGGTTTCTTATTGCGTCTTTGATCCAACATGGTGACCCTTTCGGTTCCATATGGGATTACTCCGCTACCCTCTAAAGGTTGGACCAATAGAATTTGACAAACAACTTCTAAATTCCTATTATGTTGTAGCAACGCTTTTCTTCTCCATGATTTGTGTATTAACTGCAACCACCTGCATGAGATGGACGGTCGTTTTCATGTAGAAGACATGATGGAAGTGAAGGGAAGTGGGCAGGTAGACATTCTAGGGAAAGGGAGTGCCATGGCGCTGAGGTGAACATGTATGATTCCTGTGATGTTCGTGCTGTGAAGAATTCCTTGGCCTGATGACACAAAAGTTCATGATTCCTATGTTGTTGTGGATGTTCAAGGTAGTGTTTGTGACCGAGAGCGAGATATATGGTGCACATGAGAAAAAGCTTCTTCTATTGTCCCAACATCGGGTTTGGGAGTTTTTATTTCCACCTGATCCCTAAGTTGAGCTTAACTCCACATTTGAGCATGTCTAATATAGGGTTAAAGGACCCAGCACATTTTGCCATACTTCTTTTGCGCAAATGTGGTCTAATGACTTGCCATTATACTCTCCATCCCTTTTGATCTTAGAGCATGTACCTCGTCCCTTTTACGAGCTACTAGCTACTTGTTCAAAAATACCACGCGGTGCATGGTACTATATTAACATAAAGTAAGTATATAGTATGCTAAAACAACCACATTAGTAATATAGTAATTGATGAACAACCACGTTAATAATATAGTAACTGATGATCAGGCTACAGGCCGATAATCATGAAAACAAATCCTCAAGTCTACAAGGATACAAATCCACGATTTACCTCCTTGTAGTTCGTTTTAACTTGCCGATGCTACCATCATAGCTATAGCCTTTAAAAACTAGAGGATGACGAGGATGAGACATAATATTTGATAATATTTGATGTTAGAGGATATCTATCACATGCATACATAGGATGTCACGAGAAAAAAGCCAAAGCTTTAGAGAATTCGTATCTACTATATCTGTCTTTATAAGTGTGCTCATAGTATAGAAAGCAAATATTATTGATTACTAATTGAATTTTTATCTATGAGGAGGAAAATATCAGTTTCACTGGTCTTACACTCATGTAAAATCATTTTTGTTGTAGAAATATAGAAAAACATACAGAGGGCGCTATTTCAGCCCTCTATTTCCAGTACTTGTGGAAGAATATTCCACCACTATCTTAACACATATTTTATATGAAATACGGTTGAACCATGGATTGAATATGAAACATCAAGCTTCAATTACTGAAACATCAACAAATCCACAAGAATCAGAGACAAATTGAAACACTATAAAAAATCCCACTGCAACATTTAATCCAACACAAAAAAAAACATCAAGATACATTGGCTGAAACATTAAAAAATTCGCAAAATATACCACCCATAAAAAATACATTGTCTTCTTCCTATCCTGTAGTGATGGCAGAGGAGGGGTAGGCCAAACTAAAGAGCTCTGAAACAACTTTGCCACTAGCGGAGGACAAGGCTGAAGAAACGACATCGCTGGCGACGAAGCAGGGGCGACAAGGCTCGAGGATTCCCGCCCAGCGGTGGCAGGTGGGAGAAACGATGTCAATGCCGACGAAGCGGGAGCAATGGCGCTCGGGGTTTCTTGGCGGCAACGACGGCAGACCAGAGAAACAATGTCGATGGAGACGAAGGTTGGGACGCCGCCGCCCTCCTGTGTGAGTGTGGGAGAAAGGTAAGGGGGTCCAAGAGAGAGGGAGTCACAAGTGTAAGCGAGTTAATGGAAAAAAGCCCGATATAGATATTTTATTATCACAATATGGTTAGCGTTCTCTAAAATATACTCCCCATATGAGATCGAAAAAGAAAAAAAAGAGAGCCGTTGATGCCCACCATCCAACGGTGGGAAAGGACGCGCTATCGTATCGCCCCTTCCACGGTGGAGCCGCGTCGTCTCCCCTTTCTCGGCTCGACTCGCTCTTGACGCCCTCCCACCAAAGCGTCCTAAGCGCAACGAGAAAAAGAGACGAGGGCAAAAGCACCCGATTGCCCCCACCCCATCCCCTCCTCCCCCCCCCACCCCCCCACCCCCACCTCGCCGCCGCCGCCGCCGCCGCCCGCTCCCCGGCGTCTTTCGCCGGCGACCGCAGAACCGACCCCTTCCGTTCCCCCGCGCCCCCCTCCCTTGCCGCGGCCTCGGTCTCCCGCCCCTCGTCCCCCCTGCCTCTCCGCACCGCCGGGCAACCAGATCCGCCCGGTTTCCAGGCATCCCCTCGTCGTGGTAAGCCCTAGCTTCTGATTGTTTGGTTCCGCCGCGTGTGCCCCGCTGAGAAATGGAATACTTGTTTTGGGATCCCGTGCGATTCGTTGTCGGAGTGCGCTGTTGGATTGGATTAGATTGGATTGGTCCCCCGGATTTGTTCGATGCTAGGATGCAATCCGTCCGTAGGGTTCGTGGCAGATATGTTCTGTTTTGGGCGTGCGGAGGGTTCCTGAATTTCCTATGATCCTAGCCTCCTAGATGCATCCGCCAGCCCCAAGCGGACAAGCTCGAGGTAGAAGGCGAGGCGAGATCGGGTTACATGGTGATTGGGTTCTTGTGGAGCTGTTTTGACTTGTAAGCTGGGTATTTTTGGCATGTTGGCAGTTGGCATATGATGTTAACTAACTGTAGGGGTTTGATCTTGGTGGTTCGCCGCTAGACTCTTTCACCCCTATAGGAATCTATACGGTAGTTTTTTGGTGTGTGGCAATGCATCTAACTTTTTTGTTTTCATCGGTCTGGTTGTTTTAGCATATTGTATTACTGTATCAATTTTCCTTTCATGTGCATATCAGATATGAACCATATTGGTAGTCTTAGGGGCTCTTTGGTTGCCTGGATCTACCCTGGCTCGCATGGGAGATGCAGACGCGTCCGCTTGTTTGGTTAACTGCATGCCCTTTGGAGCCTGGCTGAGTTCATGCAAAAGTAGGTTAGCCAGGCCCGAGAGAAACGGCCGATTTCTTCTTCGCTCCTCAGCCTGGCTCACTCGATGCAAGGTGGATGCAGCGCGGGTGCAAGCGTTGCATCAGTGCGTGCACGTGCGTGGCAGGGGTCTAGCATCCGCTCACCTCCTCCCTCTCATTTTCATCTTCCCATTCTCAATTGCTCTCCTCTTCCCCTCTCTCCCTTGCCGCTGCCGCCACCAAATCCCCTGCGGTCACCGCTCGTTTGGCGTCTTCTCCGGTGGTGGACTGGCAGCTGACCTCGAGCTCCCTCGGCCGACCCCAGTGGAGAAGCTACTGCCGCTATTACATCCCTTGCCATCTCCATCGCGTCGATGCGCTGCCTCTCTTTTCTGTCGCCACAACTGCCTTCTCCGACCGCCAGGCCACCAGATCCGGTGACCATGGTGGCGTTGAGCAGCTGGGAGCGCCGATGAAGCAAGTCAACGATGAGATTGAGGGTTTTTTTTTTTGTTTTCTCTGTTCTATTTTCTACTGAGAGAAGAGCAGAGGAGCGCGCATGTCAGATCAGGATGAGAGGCCAGCGAGGAGCATGGTACTGGCCGGCGACAGAGGAGCTGGGAACGGCTGGCGGCGATGAGGCAAGAACTCATCTCCTCGACAACAAGGAGGAGGACAAACGCTTCTCTCTCTTTTTTTTTCTTTTTTTTTTCCAGCGCTTTGCTATCAAATGGTGGAGGAAGTTTTGTTGACTTTTTATTTTTTGAGAACTCAAGAAATTTCACTTTTGGTGCAGAGAATGCCGGGTGATTTTTGATGCCAATATTATTCTTTGTATGTGAAAAATTGTTTATACCTATTGTCTAGATTTGAAATTTTTGTAGGTAACCTCACCCAACTAAATGAAGAGGTAACTAGACTCAAATCTATCCAACCAACCAAACAAAATCTTTTCCAAACCGCATCTCTCATGCACTCAACCAAACAAAATCTCATCCCAACCGGGCTAAACTGATGCAAACAACCAAACAGTTGCATGTGTATCTCTTCATCCAGGCTAGACTCAACCAGGATGAGAGAGATGAGCCAGGCTAGGAAAATGCAAGCAACCAAACACACCCTTAATGATTCATTGCTGAGCTGTTGATCTATCCTTGCTTTATGCATTTTTGGCATAGGATGTGAGCTCAGAATGTAGGCCTTCCTTGGACTGACTTGCTCTCCATGTTTTTACCAATGAATAAATTGTACTTGTCCAAAAGTAAGAATTGAAATTCTTTTTGTTTGCATTGTTCCCATGCATTCTTAACTCACAAGAGCAGGACATCAAATGTGTTATGAAATCTGTTGGCAATGGCAAGCATCCCTGAAACACACAACATATGCAGAATAAACTTAAAGAGCAAGTGTTTGATGACAAGTTTTCAAATTTTTCAATGAAAAACCCATCTTAATGAATATGCACACTGCTGTACAAGCCTGTTTGCAAAATTTACACTTAATATGCTAGGTCCATAATTGCCTACAGCTCAAAGCACAAAAAGATGTGATCCATCCCTGAAATATCATGTGCAGAGAGTATTTCCAACGAGTGCACAGTTCACCAAAATAAAATCTAATGAGATGAAACCTTAGCTCTTTTAACCTACTAGAAATAACTAAACCGTTGAATATATATAGCATGCCATGTCACTTTTATTTTTATCAAAATTGGCAATATTATGTCATAAATATGATTTTCTTACTATCTAGCAGACTCACTAAAACTTGGTAGTTTGAAGCAACCGTTTCTAGTTGGGCTTGGTTTTATATTCTAAGCAGTCTTTTGATGAGAAATGTTCTTTGGTGCCTTAGCGCCTGGCTGCTAGTAGAGCATGACTTGCATAGTGCACCGTGCTTTGGATAATTTGAGATGCATTTTCTTTGCTGCATCTCGCTATTGTGCATGTGTGCACCTTGTTTGCCTTTGGCAGCACTGCTGCTGGAGCTGGATGTTCTGTAGTACAATTTTGTGAATATCTCAAACAGAAGAACATTGTGCGAGGTGACCTAAGGTCAAATGATAATCTAAGCATCTGTGGCAAGTTATATCTACCACACACTGGTTACCATAGGGAATCTATCAAATGGTAGGTTGTTCGTGTCCAGTCACTCTTGATGTGCTGTTTTCTAATTTTTAATTGGAGTATACTGCATTTTCTGATTTTCATATGTTGGATTTTGGGATGTTTGTGTCAGTGTTTTTCTGAAGAATTGTTCTAAAAACTTCTTACTTAACTTCTGTTATATATCATACAATTTCATTAACATTTTACATCTTGTTGTATCTGGTTGGTTCAATTAATTTTTAGGTGCATATATATATTGAAGGCCTGAAATGGCTGAACATTGGGCAGAAGGTTCAAAGCATGCTTCTGCACAAGCATCGTATTCTAGATATCAAGCAACATCTGCAAGATCTAGGCAAAGGTAATTGTCTACTTAACATCATCATTTAGTTTTCTGCTAGAGAAGTTGGTACAATCCTATGAGAAACTAACTGTTACAATTCAATTGATAAAATGTATTCTTTCTTTTGATTCTGTGTTTGGAACCAATATTGCATCCATGTGCAATATTTGACACAGTAAAGGTGGAATTATATCTGCAAACCCTCTTGTGACTTATTAAGTTTGATTAGCACCCTGGCCTTATTTATCTTCTTCTACTCTTGGTACAGTATTTGTTAGCATACAAAGCCCTTTTAAAACAACATTTGTGAAAAGAACCTCACATATTTGTTCCAGAAAATGGACCAAAGCTATGGGAATATATTCTGCATACTGTTACACCACTTCACCTAGAGGTCAGCTGTGTTGGATTAAGTGTCGTCTCCACTGGTAGAAATGTCAAAAGGTCAATACCACATGAATTAGCATTAGTATTTTGATAATGTTATGGCCTATTGGACTATAACATTAGCATTATGCCTAACCAATTTCAGGGTAACATTCATCTTGAATGTAATTTGCAAAAGCTCCTTTGACCAACACATTGTTGTTATCATAATACTTAAGTACTGCGGGAATAGCTTAATGGCAAATGCAACTCCCTGATAGAGTAGCACCATCAGTGTTAATGCCACCATTGAGCCATTGTGGTATCCCCATGGCCCCCTCCAAAAATAAACTGCATGAGGGGTCATCTTCTGGATAATATAAAAACATTTTCAGTAACCTGTTTTCTAATGGCATTATAATATGAGATCACTTGTTAAATATATAACCTTTGGTTTGCCCATTATTGTCAGGAACATCTTCGATCTATTAGCTCAGCGAGAGATTTCCCCTCGAACAAAACACCAAGCTAAAAAACTTTGGAGCAAATCTCCAGGAAATGATGCTGATTCCAATGAACTAAGATATGCAGCTACAGATGCTAAACATGATATATATTCATGGTACGGGGTCTTACTTTACCAGGATGGTTTAAGCACAATTTGTCATGTCTGTAGTAATGATTGAGTTACATATATTGTACTTTCGATTTTACACCTAATATTTCTTTGGTAAATATTTATAAACCCTATGAACTATTCTTCATTGTCTATTTTAACTGTTGAGTTACATAGTTTTGTACTCTCACTCTTATACCTAACTTTTCCCTGGAATGAAACCTTTTCTGTATACAGGGCAGAATCACAGTCCCTGCATCACTGGTCTGCCAAATATTGTCCTCTTTTGCCACCCCCCAGGTCTACTATCGCAGCTGCATTCAGCCCAGATGGGAAAACACTTGCATCTACACAGTAAGTTTATTATTTGCGGAATATAAGGATTAAAGTGAAGGCATGTGGACTAACTCCATCTCTTTTGAGCAGTGGTGATCATACTGTTAAAATAATTGACTATCAAACTGGGAAATGTTTGAAAGTGCTGAGTGGACATCGGCGCACGCCTTGGGTGGTATGATTATGAACACTGTCATCATGTTCCAGAATGTGTGCTACAAGCTCTTATAGATAAAGGATAAATCTTACCCTGTCCCTGCTACAAGTCACTGCTTTTGTTACCTACCTTCCTACAAGTAATTTTGGTTTATTGGCACCCTCAAAGTCGTTTCAGTCTGTAATAACCCTGTCCCTCACTGTTGCCTGTAATTTCACGATTCACTTGACCAATTTGTTGGGGGATATTTCATCAAATCGTCACAATCAGCTGTTCTGCTATCATCATGTGTTGCACGCCACATGGGTCCTACTAATTTACCATTACCACCCGTAGCGCAATAAGGGGAAGATAGATTGGGGGGTTGGGGGGCACTGTTGTAGGGGATATAGTTGCACTTTTGGATGGTACAATGATTTACAGGGGGTGCTGATAAACCAAAATGACTTGGGGTTAAGTCACAATGACCTTTAAATAAACAACTCAAGTACTGATATTTTTACTAACCATCAGGCCTTATATCAGCATGTCATGTTTGTACCCATATCCTTATCCACCACTTGGCAGCTTAGTCCATAGGGAGCATTTTATATATGTTTTACATAAAAATGCATAAATGCTGTTTTTGCAGTCTTATTTGCCACTTATTATTTTGAGTTTCTTCTGTTCTATTTCAGGTTAGATACCATCCATTACTTCCTGATATCCTTGCTAGCGGTAGTTTGGATCAGGAAGTCCGTCTTTGGGACGCTAAAACCTCAGACTGTATTGGATCTCAGGACTTCCGTAATATATCTAAGCAGATCCTAATGAGTATGTCTCCTTCCATGGGTGAAATCTGAATACTAACCTTTTCAGTGATGTTCTCTTATTTGATAGATCGGCCAATTGCATCAATAGCATTTCATGCAAGGGGGGAGATTCTGGCAGTTGCATCAGGTCACAAAGTGAGATTATAGTGTTAAATTTGAAAAAAAAAGGAAGTCTTTCTGTGCTTGTTTTATGAACAATGATCAAATAACATATAGTGCTCAATGCAATGTATTGTGCCAGCTGTACATATGGAACTACAATAAAAGAGATGAGGCTGCTGCTCCAACCATTATATTAAGAACCCGCCGCTCACTAAGAGCTGTCCATTTTCACCCCCATGGTGCTCCATATCTTCTTACTGCAGAGGTAGAAATAATATACTCCCTCAGTCCCAAAATATAACAACTTCTCTACCTACATTCTCTTCTCAACCAATCACAACCTTCCCACATTTAATTCCACCTGCTTTCTTAATACCCATGTCCAACCCTAAAACTCATTCTGGGACGGAGGTAGTACTGTTTTCTGCATTTTTTGCTTTCTTTGCATAATTTCATGTACCGATTGATCTTATGCAGATATTCAATTTCAGGTTAATAATCTTGATTCTGCGGACTCACCATTGACCCTTGCAACCTCTTCGGGCTATTCAAACTATCCCTCGGCTGTGTTTTTTGCAAATATTAATTCCAGAAACTGTCCACATCATGAGGCTAATTCATCATCACCTTGCTTGCTTTGGCCTGCATACCTCAGGGATGATGGAAGTTTATGTCTGATTCGCAATGACTTGGTTAGTAGTTCAACCAATGTGCATCAGAGACCATCATCTTTAGCTCAAAATCCATTGGCATCAGATGTTGAAAATCAACAGCCTGACCAACTTGTCACGCCTATGGATGTGTGCCCTGGAGAACCATCTACTTCTCATGCTTCTGCATCTGGTTTAAGTGGAGTTGAAATGCAGATTGACAGGGGGCAACCTAGCTCCAGATTACTGGGCAGTAGCTCCACTAGTAATCATGAGAGTTCTACTGCTAGAGATGATGTGCAAATGCCCTCCCTGAGCAACAGCGTGCCGATTCCAGCAACATCTCAGCCTTCAGAACATGATGGCCGTCATGGTATGCCAATGAATTCGTTTACCACTTCTAGTGGATTAGATGTTCACATGATCCTAAGAAATTCAGAGGGTGGAAATCATCATCATGATCTCTTCAGTGACTCGCGTAGCTGGGAGCTTCCCTTTTTGCAGGGCTGGTTCATGGCCCAAAATCATACAGGTTTGCACCCTGCACCTTCCAAATGATGATGCCTTTGTACTGGAGGCCTACCTTCTTGTGGTACTGGCACTGCTGAGACTGATTAAACTGTGTAATTGAACTTGCAGGTGCTTCTCCATCTATTCCGATTGATGTCGGCAGTTCTAGAGGATCAAATCGACATCATGCTTCTCGTCGTCATGTTGTGGGCTCATTACGTGGGGTTGGGAGTTCACTTCTAGGCCCCCAAATTGATGAAGCTGAGGTTCATGCTGCATCATTAGGTGTTGGATCTGAACTTACTACCTCACTGCTTGCTGCTGGAGCTGCTGAATTACCTTGCACAGTGAAGCTTAGAATATGGCGGCATGATATCAAGGATCCATGTGTTACATTGGAACCCGAGGCATGCCGGTTGACAATTTCTCATGCCGTTCTCTGCAGGTGCTTCATTGTACTTTTGGTTTTCTTGTATTCACATTTTTCCTGCACAACACAAACTTTTATTTCCTTTCTGTTGTTTCCTGTATTGCTTTGCCTGAATATGTACATAAGTGGATAAGTTATGGTGTGCAGCAACAACAAAAACTTACTGTTCTGTTTCACAATGTTTGTCCATTAAGAAAACCAAGAATGTGGTTATTACAATGTTTTCACTCATTAAATGCTTTGAAATGGGTAAAATGGTTGCATTTTGCTATGCATGTTTTTTTCTCGTTAAATTTTTCTTAGATTTTGTACTTCCTTGGTTTGAGCGCATGGGGTGCTGTGGAAAAACATTGTTAGACGGAGGGAGTATCTTTTAGATGTTTGACATGAAGTGCGTATTTTATTTTTGACAAACTGTGCAGTGGATTGTTGACCCTTCTTTGCTTACTCTAAAGTTAATAATTATTGCAGTGAAATGGGTGCCCATTTTTCCCCTTGTGGACGATTTCTGGTAGCATGTGTTGCCTGTTTGCTGCCTCAAACTGAAGGCGACCGTGGTAGCCAATTGCCTGTGCAGTATGATTCTGCAGGGGCCGGAACATCACCAACTCGTCACCCTCTCCCTTCTCACCGAGTTATTTATGAGCTCCGAGTTTACTCTCTTGAGGAGGCAACGTAATTTTCTCAACAGTCTTGTTACATAGTATGCTCTTTTGCTAGGTTTCTCATTTGTAAACGTTCTAGTTATTTTGAAATTGTGAATGTATTTTCCTTACAGGTTTGGCAAAGTTCTTACATCAAGAGCGATAAGGGCAGCTCATTGCTTAACTTCCATCCAGGTTAACATCTCATTTGTTTGTGTGTTTGTTGGTTTTTTAGTGCTGCAAAAGATAAGCAGGCATCTCTGCTGCCACCCTTCTACTGGGAGCAGAAACATATTATATACCTCAGATAATTGCTGTCGAACTTGTGGCTTGTGTCTCAAGCATTGTCCAGTAGCAGCATTATAAAGTTGACTGGCTTTTGCATTTTTGACCTAAACTTGAGAAATATTGATATGAAATTCAACAACTTTCTTCATCAGTTAATTTGGTGAGCACTTGTTTTTCTGCAGTTCTCACCCACTTCAGAGCACATACTATTGGCATATGGTCGTCGTCATAACTCTATGCTTAGGAGCATTGTGATGGATGGGGAAACTGGAATTCCTGTATATACTATCTTGGAGGTACATATAGTTAGATTATGCATAAGCATATCAGTGAAAATACTGGAAATTCTGTTTTTGCTGCTTATTTTAAATATTTCAGTCTGAACAATTTTCTTATTATAGTTTGTAACTCCTAGTGTCCTTTTGTTTCTGTATGACTAACAATATGATTTAGGCCCTGTTCTAAACTTCAACTTCCTCATTTTCCGTTAGCACGCTTCCCAAACTGCTATACGGTGTATTTTTTGCAAAATGTTTTTATATAAAAGTTTCTTTAAAAATTCAAATGAACCCTTTTTTCAAATTTATAATATTTAGTTATTAATTAATCATGTGTTAATTGCTTGCTCCGGTTTCTGTGCCACTTACAAGCTCAGTTCTTACTTATGAATGAAGCCTTAATCTCATTATTCCTATTCATCACGTTAGGTCTATAGAGTATCGGACATGGAGCTGGTAAGAGTTCTTCCTAGTGCTGAAGATGAAGTAAACGTTGCATGCTTTCATCCTTCCCCTGGAGGTGGTCTTGTTTATGGGACCAAGGTAAATAGCAAATTAGATCAATCAACAGTACACAACATATATTTGCTTTGCTAATTCATGCACTCACACATTTGCATCAGGAAGGAAAGCTCAGGATCTTGCAGCACAATGGTGCAGATATCACAAGCACAGGGTTGAATTGCTTTATCGAGGAAAATATGCTTGAGGTAGTCCTTTTTTCCCCAGTTGTCATATCCAAGGTTTTGAATCCTAAAGACTGGCAGTCGTATTTTGAATTCAATTTAATTGGCATGTGTAATGTGTAATTTTCATAGATTTGTCATATAAGATACGTTAATACATCACAATTAGATTGAAACTGTCAAAATTAAAACTGTAGTGACATGCATATTTAATACTACAATATTCCATATTCCTTTTGCACAATATATATAACCAAGATACCTGTTTCATCTAACATAACATTTTGAATACCGGTTTCGAAAAGAAAATACTGGTCCCTCCAGTTATGGGACATGTTTGAGTCCAAATATTTGAATTCCAAAACCGGTTGGCACATAAAATACATCAATGCATCACAATTTGACCAAAATGGTCAAAATGCAATCTTTTGTAGTGAAATGGTTTGTATCAAATCCAACAGTCTATATTCTTTTTGTGAAATATATGTATAACCAAGACATCGGTTGTATCTAACCGTATGACGGCAAGAGGCGTTGATTGAAAAGGGCTTGAGCTGCAGTGACGAGTGATGGGAGTTTCATATTTTATTTCCTATTTTCCTCGTTGAATGTGCCTATTTTTTTCCTACTCTATCATATAATTCAAATGTACTTACACATGTCACTGCAAGAAAATATACAGTTTGTATTAAAATTTTGTTTTATTCTGGCTGGTATGCCAGATACCTGCTAGCCAGCAGATCCTGAACGGTTACCAGCTGGTTACTGTTGGGATTCCGATCTATGATGGCAGGTGACATTGACTAGACTGCCTCGAGCTGCAGAAACAAGCAACAAGGCTCTTTTTAGATTTCCCCTATTGAATGCGTCTCTCCTTTTCGGTTGTTACACTTCTCTGTTACAAATGATGTTGCAAGAATATATACAGTTCGTATGATTTATAATTTAAAATTGAATTATTCTGGCCTGTACGTTGGATACTAGCTGGTGGCTCTGGAGCGGTAACTGTGCTGGTTATCGCCGGGATTCCGATCCCTGGTCATACCTTGTTAATTATCTGGTTTACTTAGTCTTATATTGTACCACCACAGCCATATTTTATGCATTTCTCGTGGCCCATGTGTCTGGTGGTGGTTTCATTCTCTACACTGGAAGTTTAGTGGATGTTTAACCAGCATTTACATTTCTAAATGTAGGAATTCTGGATTTAACTATCATGGGTTATGTCTGGATGAAAGTATGAACTAGTTGCTATTATGCATGGACTCGTTCAATGCTGGCTCTGGGCTTTAAGAAATTTACAAAGCACGAATCATGTTGTCTTCACAAATAAACTAGTTGCTTTATCTTGGTTGTTGAGCCTAAGATAATCAGTTTGAGTGGCACTTTGCCATATGGATGCAGATTTTTTTAAACTAGTTATGTGGTTTTTGATTTATCAAGGTCAATCACTTTTTTTTTATAAGTAACTATAGGTTCAAATATGCAAAGCTAAGACAAGATAGTCCATGTTATTATGGGTTGTTTGGTTTGATCAGAATTCGGTCCATCGTAAGATCGTTCCTCAAATTTGGTTCAATGACTAGTATTCCTCATTTTTCCCACTTAGTATATATGATGACCACATTTCATTCCGCAAACCAAACTTATTTAGGATCAAGTGGTCAATTGACAATCTCATTCGGCCATTCCTCAAACCAAACAGCCCTTTAGAGTTTTACTGGGTCTGTGTCCGAGCTCCAACCCACTAAGGGGCATGTGTTACCAAGTCCATGCTATCAGCGAGTTTCCACTTTACAGTAATCTGGTACGAAATAAAGTTGGAACTAAACAGCATGACAATTGGCCGAAATTTAACAATGGGCCGAAATTTAACAACGGGGATGTTTTCTGAACAAGTCATAAATGATGCAACAGTTCACTCCGATTTTCATGATAACTCTAATATATCTTTAAGCACACGATAATGGAGTACAGAAATTGGCATTATCCATCACAAATAGGTCAAAATTGTCTTACCTCATTATTTCCAGGGAACTGTAAATAAATTATTGACCATGGATTTTCAGTTGGGCAATCATCACTTTTTGGAGTCTTCTATTCATGTTAATAGTTAAGACTTTTGTCGTGGACATTTAGCCACCACAAACTTAGTTTTACTTGATAACCTGTATGATTTGCTACTTAATACATTTGAAGCCAATGGTGGCCCAGTTATGGTTGCTAGATCTTTTGCAATTTTAATCAGATTGTATGCATTTGGCTCACTTCTGCTGAAACTAGCAAGATTCTCATAAATTAGTGTCCTATCTCATATTTTATTAATATGGTATCTATTAATAGGGCAAACTTAGGGGCAGCAACCAGACACCTGTGACCTGTCCAGATACAAGCCTTGTTAGGAGTTTATTTATTTCCGTGAAAATCTTTCCTTTTGCTTGTACCTCATTTAATTTAATGCTATTGTGTCAACAGGTTTGATAATGATAGTGCTGCTATTATGTGCTCATATTCGGTCTAATAAAATCGATATAACGGTATGTTCCTTTCTTTGTTGTAGATTCAGAGATATGCGCTGGAAGGCTGAACGATTGGTTGCCATGTGTTATGTGTACTTCTCCAGGTAATTACCATTTATCAACATCTCAATTTTTTTTCTGTGTCTGTTGCATTCCTGGCCTCAAACGTTATCCAGTTCACTGGTTGGAGGGACACTTTGCTGTTTCTGTTCCTTTTGGTCATGAAGTATAATCAAACTTTCTGTCTATAGGTGATACTATGACCAAATATGCCTTTTCTGGTTGGCTTGCTGGTGACTGAAATCATGATTGGTTGTCACTACAGGAATTTTCCTCTGCAAAGTTTATCATTGTACAAGTGAGCCTCAAGGAAATCATCAGATTTCAGCAAAGTCATGGCAGATTCTCAAATGAGTTTGCTAGAGTGCCTTGGGGATAGGTATGGAACTGTTGCGTAATTTGGTTTGGTGACAGTCTAAGATTACCCATCTTGTTTTGTTCCACTAAACCCACCGACATTGATATCATCAAAAGATCCCTATTGCTCCTTAATACCATTCCATCCAAGCCTTCTTTTTACCAAAAGCAATTATGTTAGATGAAATAACATTCATTGGCATCTTGGCTTTCCCTCCTATCTTCAGTGCAGATGGACATTGAAACACAAACATACCACACATTACTCATTGTTAGCAATGTGCAGTGCCACTGTGTGCTAGAAAGCTTGAGTTTCTGGAGCTGCTCGATCTCTATGCACAGTGAGGCGATGAACATACCACACATTACTCATTAGTCGGAGTAATGGCGATGGTGTGCTTGGTGGTGGGTCTTCATGCGGGATGCCTACTTTTCATGGCTGCAGCGAGGTGAAAAGCTTGTCAAAGCTTGTCAGTGCAGAGGTCCTTGATCTTGGTGTTGCCAGTGAAGACTGTGTTGGATACGTGTCCTCATCTCTTCCCTCTTAATTGCCAGCACCACCCATTCACCTTTGCCATCATGTTAAGCATCCTGCCATGTCTCTGCACCACCTCATCCTCTCCCTAGGGTTGGCTGCAACAATGTAGAGTGGAGACAGACAAAACATGAGGGTGGTCAGAGTTGGGCACACACTTTAGACCCCCCAAGCTGATATCTTTCTCTTCAAACTCTGTCTTCGTTACAAAGTTCTCCGATTACCATAGACCCCCCAATCTAATATCTTTCTCTTCAAACTTAGTCTTCATTACAAAGTTCTCCGGTTACCAGATCTTTTTTTGGTAAAGGTTTGTCTTGAGAGGTCCGATACCAGCTTTCACACTTAAATTGATCTGTCTGGATTAGCCAGGCCAAATTGTAGTGCCGAAATCGTTTTATGGCTGTTGCGAGCTTAGCCTTGGATGGAATGGTATTTGGATGGAATGATGTTAAGAGGAACATGAGTGATCTTTGGATGGTATTAAAGTGCTCATGTGAATCAGTGGTATAAAACAAAGACGGTAATCTTTTGGTGTCACCAAACCAAAATTTCCTTATAATATACCATAATACTCATGCTATATAGGTGTATGTATTTGCTTCTCTGCTGCTGGGTATGATTAATATGAATTCATTATCTTTGTATGTGCATGAGATTTATCAATAAAATTTCTGCCACGCTAAAAGTAGAAATTACCCTGCACAGAATAATAGATGGCCCAGAAATATAAAACCTGCTTCAAATCAATATTTTTAATTTTTGCTCGAGGGAGTAAAGGAGTCAGTGAAACAGGCTAGCTGTTTTGTTCTGGGAATTTTGTCGCGACCAGTTTGCCAGCACGGCTTGGTATGTTCAGGAACAAATTGCCCTTTATTCCTTGTATATAGTAATTATATAAGGAATAATAATTATGAGCTTATATATAGTAATTATATACCCAAGGACACAAACTTATATACGTTGTTGCTAACGTTTCTGCATTGGGTACTTTTTTTTTTGTTGCAAACTGACCATATAGCTGACCTGTGTTACACCTGTGCTATTATATTCTTTCCCGCCAAAGTGACTAGTTTTAATGGATTGCCATTTGCAACTTAATTCAGGTCTGTGCAGAGGGAGTTGGAAGATGTAAATCAACACAACCATGTTGCTGCTGTCAAGTCATCACGATGCTGTAATTACAGAATTGTACATGTAATCTTTAATCAACTTAACTTGTATTTTAGAAAGCACACAATGCTAACCCTTTTCTTTTCAATGGCAGAGGTATTTATTGTTCCCCTTGTATTTTTCGTTGTGTAGTCTTTTATTCCTTGACGGGGTACCAAATGCCAATGATTAAAGTAACTAATCATCAATTCATCTTTGGTTCAAAGATGTACTCTGAACTTGGCGAAGCATCCTGATATCATTTTGGTTTGTCCCTACAATTCCAGAAACCGATAGACCTGACAAATCGTTGTATAGTCTCGAGCAAAAGAATTTTATTTGTTGGGCAAATTTTGCTACCAGACATTTGCGACTTTGTGGTTTTAGCTGTAGGGCACCACGCGAAGTCACTTTTGGAGGAACACGCTTTGTAAATGTGGTTATTTCTCAGGAGACACTCACACTCCATCCATTAAATTAATGTTTTCATGTTGACTAAATTACCCCTTATCTCTTCCTCTCTCTTCCTCTTTTCTCGCTTCTCCCTTGGGCGACATCAGCCTGCTCGATGGCGGCGCCTGGAGCACGAGCGACCCGCTCAGCGGCGGCGCCCCGCCGCTGAGCGCGCGCGGCCTACCTTGGCCACATCCACAGCGGCGCTCCTCCGCTGGTGGCGTGCCCAACACCACACCACCAGACCGCGCCCCTCCGCCTCCGAGCGCAGGGGAGCACGATGGAGCTCGACGCCGGCTGGGAAGCTGTACTCCGTGGGTGGAACGGGAGCGCGTGGACGCCGGCTAGCCCCATCGCCGATGCCATTGATGACGGGAAAGAAAATAAACGCCATTTTATTTTAATTCTTGTTAGAGAAATATGGCTGAACATATGTTCAAAACTAGCAAATATGTGTGCTAATTAATATGCTCAATTAATTTTGTTTATCACTATGCCTGTATCACTACTAGCACGGCTTGAAGCTATGAAGCGTGACCGAAGCAAGTGCTTATTTAACTTATGGTGAATTATGCAAAATTTATGTTTGTATCTGTGATTTGTATCGGCTCGTAGAGGACCGAACCTGAGAGCGAGAATCTCGCCTAGGCTTGTATCTGCTAACGGGACCAAATCAGAGGGTATGGTAGGATGACATGAAAAGAATATGCATGGAAACCACTCCTAGGTCCGTATTCATCTGGCCGGACCATAGGAGAAAGTGTGAAATCATGTTAAAAGCCATCAAATGAAACGAACTTCCTTGTCTCATACGCGTTGGCTGAGACGAAGGACACAACAAAGAGGAAAAATTCCTTTGGCTTGTACTCATGATGGCCAAGCCTAGGAACATGTCAAGAACATAATTCCCTAGTTCGTACTCATTGGCCGAACCGAAAGACAGCAAAAAAATACATTAACACGAGCAGAGGAAGGAGAATTGAGAGATTCCTCGACTCGTACACAATGGCCGAGCCTAAGAACGAAGGAGGATCATGATTCCCACCTTGGAACACCTCTTATTCTTCCGGCACAGCAGAGCGAGAAACTAGCACGGCGGCAATTGCTTTGCAGTAGCGAACTACTCCCTCTGTCCCATAATAGGTGACGTTTTTGACTTTTTATTTGCAACGTTTGACCATTCGTTTTATTTGAAAAATTAGTGCAAATATAAAAAAAGATAAGTCATATGTAAAGTATTTTTGATAATAAAGCCATTGACAAACAAAATAAATAATAATTCCAAAATTTTTTGAATAAGACGAATGATCAAACATTGACAAACAAAAACTCAAAAAGATAAGTAATATGGGACGGAGGTAATAGCAGCGATTCAGCACAGCAGCCTTTCGCCTTAGCCAGCCCTCACACCAACCTTCTTGGAACCTCTCCCCAGCGAACTCCCCTTTGCCTCTAGCCCTGATCCTCTATTTATCGAGGAGGATTAAAGGGGGTTAATTTGCTTTATGTGATTTTGAACAGGATCCCGCGCGCGCGCAGAGATCGTGGGGTGGTTGTGGGCAATGGCTTGACTGCATGCACATCCCTTTGGCTGATATGTGGGCCCGTTCAGTTTGACGGGACGAATGTGCTGGTATTTGCTGCATGCATGCATGATTAGTGGTGATCGTGGGTAGGTTATGGGCTTGACCACTTGTCTCTTTGCTTTCACTGACGTGTGGGCCCTTTGGACTTGACTGATTTTTTTTCTTTAAATTTCAGTTGTTTGTAAATACATGCGTGTCTCTTTCTTGATTTCAAATTTTATTTTTTTTGCATGCATGACTATTCTGTATGTCCTATATTTTGACTGCATATACTCCCATTTAATTGGGCGCCTCAATTTATTTATTTATTTACTTTTATAAACACTTTGGATATGAGTCTTTTCTCTTTTTTTTAAAGAGGCACACGTATATATTCTAGTGCATCATTTTCTATCGAGCGGACTGTCACTGCCGTAAATTTATTTTATACGACACGCATCGCGTCTTGACATGCATATTATCACGGTGGCTTTCTCAAGCCAACATCTAGACATCGAGATAAAAATATTGGATAATGTCAAACGCGACCCCCTTTAATTTGGCGCGCATGTAACATGCATTTTTATTTTAAGTCACGACTATTTAGAGTATAATTTTTTCACTAGCCAGCTAAACATCTATTTTGGCTTACATTTTAATTTTTGTATGCTATTTTATATGGTGAGTACGCCTTTTCTGAAAATATTCGGGGTGTGACTATTTCGAGGTAGTGAGAAAATCCCACTTCATGGCCATATGTTTTAGGCCAAATTTCGTATGCGGATACGACGAGAAAGCTAAGTATTAGCGTTCGCCGGTCCGACGAAAAGCGCATGAAAAATATTTGTTCACGCTATATTTATGTGGAACGCGTATATGCATTCCTATTTTAAGCCAAAAATTATTTTTGTCCAATATAAGTGAATTATATTTTATTTCATGGCCATTTATTTCGTGGCCGCTATTTATTTAAATTACTTCACCATCTGTCTCCCAATAAAATTCTTATTTATTATTATATATATTTTGTACGCACTATATTTAAGATAATATATTAGTTTATAATTTAACAAATTATATTTATATTTAGGACACGAGCCAAAACCCGTGTCAACAGCCATCCGCAATGAGGTGGGCTCGGAAGGCCTCTGCCATACTGGGGGTAGCGACGAGGGTGGGGCACGCGTCCGGGTGGCACCGGCAGACCAGCAGCAGCAGCAGCCACGCGTTCTGGTACATCTCCAGCAACGTCGCGCCGGCGCCGCCGGAGAAATCCATCGCCACGGTGGTTGGACTTGTCGCGTGAGCTCAGAATCGAGGAGGAGGGATCCGACATGTGGCCCAAGGGCATTCATTACTTTCACGTGATTTCTGTCTCCTCAACCAAAAAATATTATTTTAATGGGTGCGATGTCCACCAGCAAATATTCAACTTTTGAGAGTATTCTTTCCCAAAAGTGACTTCGTGCGGTGTCCTACAGTCAAAACCACAAAGTTGCGATGTCCTGTAGCAAAATTTGCCTATTTGTTATGCTTATTTCAAGCATTTGTAAATTTTTGCTAAGCTTCCGCCGTCTGATCCAAGTTTGTCAATTCCATTCGGGAGGCCATCCCGGTTTGGCTCTTGGAATTAGGGGTGAGAAAAAAAAAACAAACCAAAAAGACTGAGGTTTGGCTCTTGGAATTAGGGGTTAGTAGAAAAAGACTGAACTGAAAGACCGAGACCAATTTAGTCCTAAGTAATAAAAGACTGAATTTTGTATGGTAAATCCGGTTAGTCTCATTGGTTAACTGAAAAGGCCAAATTTAAAAAAATTGTCAAAATACAACCTATAATCCACTAAGTTCAATAGGATTAAACTCTAATTTTCACATCTCTACTTATTCAGGCATGTAACCTAATAAGAGTCTTCTCATACGTGTTTGCGATTTTTTTTGTGATTTTTGTGTTGAAAATTTCAATTATTTCTTTGCATATATGAAAATGTTACTGAATTTCGGTCAGGACTGATATTTTTGTGTTGAAATTCGGTCTTCACTTTTTAAAGACGAACTAACATAAAGACCAAATACCGAGACTGAAATTTTCGGTCAGACCGAATACCCACACCTACTTGGAATATAGTGTTCTAGTACAGTCGATACTGGTGTACTATTATACAGTTCAATAAAACAATATAAATATATTAATATACGATATATTATCAAAGTTTCACATGTAATCATGAATTAATAAACCACTAAAGCTACCATTTTTCTCTTTATTTTATTTTTTTGGGCGCCTCGGGATGCTGCCACGTTTTTTTTTTCTCCTTTCTTTTTTTTTAAAATTTTTTGGCGTCTTGAGATGCTGCCACGTTTGTATTGCTCTGGAGCATGACTCGATCGGGTGAGAGGAATCGGCAACACGCCATTCAACTGGTCATTGCGCTGTTTTAGCACGCAAGGGGTGTAAGTGGGTCAGCCGCGAACCCACTTATAGATCAAAATAAACGGACTTGCGGCTTATTTTAGCTTATAAGTGGGTTTCGTGGGTTAGCCTAAGCACGGCCGTGTACATCCGCGAAGGAAAAGACGCGTGGTAGTATTTTTGCAAAAAAAAAACTCCTCACATTTACACTGAATATGCATATACCCTCGAACCGACTAAGGCACCGGTGTGTTTTATCCGGAAAACTACTCGTCTTTGACAGAAATACAATCCCAAGAAGCGAAAATTCCGCTTATAAGGATAGCGCTCTAAAACAGGGAAACGTAGGGTCTTTCTTAAAAAACAACCACATATATACTACTAGCAATATTTTGGGTCGGAAGAAGTAGAAAACTTGCCGCGGCTTTGCCGCCTTACGGTGATGATCAGTTATTTGAACATTCTCTCACGTCTAGAGATATGTAAAGTTTAGGAAAGTTAGCACGAAACATGGCACTTGACAAAAATATAAAACATTAGTCACTAAAGAAAAAAGTTCATCACTCTCCAAATTTGTTTGGTACTATTTCATTTCAAATTCCAAAAATACGTGATTCTTGGGGGCACACCCTGGCATATATTCAGTAACGAAAGTTTCATAAACTAACTATTCAATAAAATTCAAGGGTCTATGCTATGAGCAAGGGAGCTTCTGGATCTACTGAATGTTTAGATTCCTTCATCAAGTTCATCTTCGCCTATAAAAATGAAATGGAATGAAATCAGTACTGTTAAACACATGCCCAAAAGCATCCCTTAACACTGAAGTAACTGTTCAGATTATGCTCATATGTTCTGTTCACTGCTTTAACGAAAACATAGATAAGGCATGATTAGCTGCTAAGTAGTTGGAGAAAATTGCACAAAGAAAAAGAAACAATATAAATTTAGAAATTTTAATATCTGCAGGAATGTTGGAGATCATCATAACACTTCCCTACTCAAATCCATATGAATATTTTCAAGTTCTTTGATGAATAAAGCATTTTATTTACTTTTAATACTTTTATTTTGCTATATCATAAAAGAAGTTGCCAGGAAAAAAATTCTAATGTGGTGCATCGAACAATTATCTTATCTGGAACATTGTATAAGGGTGATATCAACCTAACAGCAAGCATACATGTCAAGCACATGTATTTCGCAACAAAATCAAATTATTTACTACTCTCATATGCAAGCAATAGGACACTGTTATCTGCAGATGCCACACAGTTCTATTTAGCTTCCATAGTATGAATGAAAACTACCATGCCAGTACATATAGAAATATGTAGAGACTTTGAATGTTGAGGTGTTGAACATTTCAGAACACTTCACAGAGCAATAGCACTTGGCAAATTGGCAATTACATACTCCCTCCGTACTCATAAAGGAAGTCGTTTAGGACAATATTTAAGTCAAACCTTGGGAATATAAATCATAAATAACTCTCAAGTTGTTGAGTTTGAAAATGTAAAAATTATATGAATATATTTGTCTTGAAAAATACTTTCATAAAAGTATACATATATCACTTTTTAATAAATATTTTTATAGAAACAAGAAGTCAAAGTTGTGTTTTGGAGACCGTGTCGCGTCCTAAACGACTTCCTTTATGGGTATGGAGGGAGTATCTCGGAACCTCTTAACTAGTTAAACTGTAGCAGTTGATGATCGTGGCAGTCCTTAATCATTGGTCAAACCCAACAATGTTTTCAAGTTTTTTTTTCTCGAACACACAGGAGAGCTGCACATCATTATATTAATAAGAAGGAAAAGAGTCCAAAAGGACTCACACAAGCACATTAGGGCAGGTTTTAGTACAAAACGGCTTGCCAAAGAAATACAAAAGGATTATGACCATCTGAAATAGTTAGATGGAATGTTTTCATGTTTTCAGAGGAATATTATCTGAGGAATAAGCATCAGCTAATTTTGTGCCAAAAGCTACGCTAAGACAGGATGAAATAGTTAGTTGGAATGATTGGGCATAAAGTATTCTATCCCAGATTTCCTGGAAAGGTGGGGGAAACTACCAAGCTGAAGTGAAGTAGGGGCACACAGAATTTCCAGTGGAGTGCTGAATTGGATATAGGAAAGACGAACGTGAAAGTACTCCACTTGGCCAATACTATTTTATATTTCACTTATTAGCTTTCTCATAAGGGATTTTAGTCAAGCAACACCTTTTGTGACGTTTTTTTTGGGGGTATTGAGGGGTCCTTTTGGATCCCTCGTTTGTACATATTTCTTCTTCTTAATAAAATGAAGCGTAGTCCTGTGTTTTCAAGAAACAAAAGGGATTTTATTTTTGGGTATATTATTCTAGAATTTCCCACAGTTCTCTTTACCCTGGTGTCTCCAAAAATTATATCTCATCTGGAACATTTGTTTTATTTAAAAAAAGTAAGGATGGCTACCAACAGCAACCTCCTGTCAGGCACATGTAAATTAACCACCAACTATAAAGCTAATAAGTAGTTCAGACTGAGCAGCAGCCGTACCCAGAAGAAATACAACATTTCTGCCTTAGATCTATGTTCACATGAATGTCAAAACAAATGATAATATATACTTCCTCTGAGACTCTGATTCCAAATACAAATGGTTTTTTATACTTGTGCACAAGGATTAAGAAAGTGATGAAATCAGCTCGTTGCCCTTCATTTATACACAGTGGGGACATGTTCACGAGTGGTAACATGTATTCATAAAGGACAAAGAAGGAAAAAAAATGAGAGTAAAAGGTGCCTCAAGTTATGACTTATATTTGGAAATGAGTTAGGAATTCAAAGATGACTTATGCATGGAATCAGAGGAAGTATAATCTTACCTTTTTCACATCTGAATATAGATCTTCAACCCTTTTCTCTGTCTGCTTTGCAAATGACCACATTTTGTATATACTAGACTCCATCTTTCTTGATTCATCAATTAGAATCAAGAAGTACCACCTTCTCGATTAAGAAAGTGGTGTTTGCAGACAGGCTATCTTAGAGGAGGTGTTTGCAAATGACCCAAGAAGCACCACCAACCACACAGAACACAGCGCCACAGCGTCCAATCTCCTCTCTCGATTTGACATACCTTAGGCGACGGCTGCAACTATTTGTCGGCGTTGACCCACAGCTCCCGGAACCACGGCGTGGAAGGGGGCAGATCGGACGTACGTGAGGACGAGGATGCCTTGCTAGCTTCGGACGTCTGTGCTGCGTCAGCTGTTCCCCTGAAATCCATCAACCGCTCATGGGTCACAGCGGATTCCGGGGAGCGAAAAATACTTTCTTCGCACGGTTTGTGGGTGGAGGGGATTTTGCTTCGCCTCCAAATGACACGCTTAGCATTGCTTACCTCAGGAAGAACAATGCATCGCCAGGAACCAATCTTTTTTTGAGCTGACAAAGACACTCCAACCGGTTCACGGTTGTAAGCAGATGTCTCCATTTGTTGTCCTGAAAAAAATTGGAAAGATATGAGATTGCAATCCCTGCAAGTGATATGTAGTGTAAGTATTCCAAGAAAAACATCAGTAGCTGTTACTTATTACTCTGCACAATGGCAAGCATAAGTGAGAAAAAGTGTTACACCAAAACATCAAGAACAACAGTGACAAGAAGGTTAAAACAGAATCAAACCAAATAATGAGATTCCAAGCTCACCACGGAAGATGTGATGGAAAGGTCACTCAGTTCCATGGAGATCTTTGGCAACCCAAAACAATGACGGGGCCAGAACACCAAGTAATTTACTGAGTGTTTTATGTCACAGCTCATAAGTCACAACTAAATGTTCTGTCCCTCCCTGTGTACCTCTGATTTGCTGATACAAACTTCCCAACACATCGTAGATAGAAAACCTATCTTGGTGCTGAACATCACTGGCTACAAACAAATGCCGTGTCTTCTCAACCTCAATCCAGCTGCATCCTGCAGGTTTTTTCATATCCTTGGATTTCATCAGTTTCCTGACATGCTCAACACTTTCCCATTTATCATCAGCCGCAAAGATGTTTGACATGATCACATAGTTCCCGATGTCCTCAGCCTCCATGGAGAACAAGCGATCAGCTGCAAGCTGACCAATTTTGACCTCTCCATGGACCTTGCATGCCCCTAGCAAGGAGCCCCATGCATTGGCATTGACCACATGAGGAGGCATATCCAACGCAAAACTGTATGCATCTTGGAGACGCCCAGAACGGGCAAGAAGGTCAACCATGCATGCACAGTGCTCTTCTGTTGGTTCAACTCCATAGATCTCTCTGATGGACTTGAAAATCTTAATTCCAGCATCGACAAGCCCTGCATGACTGCAGGCTGACAGAAGAGCAGTCAGAACTACATGGTCTGGCTTAATGTCAAGTGTAAGCATTTTGGAGAATAGTTCTACCGCCTTTTCTGCCATTCCATGCATTGCATAAGCTCCTATCATGGCTGTGAATATGACAAGGTCCTTATGCAGGCTAACTTGAAAGAGGTTGTATGCATTGGCTATGTTCCCACACTTAGAGTATGCATCAAGAAGTGCTCCTTCTAGATGAATATCTTCTAGGGATGCTCTAAGCATGTAACCATGGCATTGTTTCACAAGTTGCACTGAGCTCAGATGGATGCAAGCCGAAAGAATATTTGTAATGCTTATAGTATCAGGGTTTAGTCCTTCAGATTGCAACTGATGGAACAAGCAAAAAGCTTGATCACACAAATCGTTCTGTGCATACAACCGGCTCATCAGATTCCATGTAGTTAAATCTTTCTCAGCCATATGGTTGAAGGTCATCTCAGCATCCTCCACACAATTATTTTTTAGGTAGCAAGAAATCATTGTATTGCCAGTAACAATGTTCCGTCCTGCAAGGCTTCTGAAGAGTGTTTCTGCATCATGCAGGTAGCCACACTTTGCATATGCGTCTAGAATAGCATTCGCAACTGAAGAATCACCAGTATAACCGACTCGCAAGGAATATCCATGAGATTCTTGAACCATCTTAATCCCACAGAACGTACTCATGCGGATAATATTCAAGATCGTGACAGAGTCCCACTGAGTTACGTCATGCCACATTTCACCAAGGAGTCTAAAGAACTGTTCAATATGGTGTTCACTGTTTGCACAAGCAGAGAGAATTGCGTTCCAGGATACTGAGTCTTTGTTCTGAATAGTGATAAAAGATCGAAAAGCAGCATCAAACCTGTCACACTGGCTGTAAAAGCTGACAAGAGCATTCATTAATGATGTTTCTTGAAGAAGTTCAGGATGTCGAAAAATATAACCATGAACCCTGATGCCCACTCTGAGATTGCCTACTTGGGCACAAGCAGTAAGTAGGCTGATAAGAGAAACAGAATCAGGAGCCATTCCGGCAAACAAAAGCCCCTGAAACAGTTTCAATGCCCTTGAGGGATACCGATTCATCACATATCCCGCAATGACAGTGTTCCATGTAACGATATCTCCCATTTTTGAACTTCTAAATATTGATTCTACAGCCCTCATTTCACAAACCTTGGAATAATGTGCCATCAGCGCATTGCTAACAGATATATCCATTTCTAAACCATGTCGGACCACAAAACCATGAATTTCTTTCCCATAGTGCCTCCCATACTCCACAAGTGAACAGAAGGGAAGAACATTAGCCAATGTTGAATAGTTTGGAAGGCATTCCTCTGAGATCATCTGACCAAACAGTGCAAGTGCTTCTTCAAACAACCCATTCTCAGAATATCCCGCAATGATTGAGTTCCATGAAACCACATCCTTGCAACAAATTGTAGAAAATGCTAGATGCGCATCATCCATAGCTATGCTCCCACCACATTTTGCGTACATTGATACCAAAGCATTTCCAGACAGAGTGTCAAACTCCAAACCAGTCTTGATGACATAGCCGTGGATACTCCTTCCAGCCCTCAGCACCCTCAACTTTGCGCACACCGGAAGGACGACAGCGACCGTGACTGCAGTTGGCATGCTCTCATCTACACCACTAGCAAGCATTGCACGGAACAAATGGAACACATCGTTGTAAAGTCCAGCACGGGAGGAGGCAGTGATCAGGATGTTCCTACATACCGCGTCGGAGCAGCTCATCTCATCAAACACCGTGTGGGCGTCCGCGAGAGACCCGATCCTCCCGTACATGTCCATGACCGCCTTTGCCACCACCGCGCCATCCGCGTACCCGACCTTGACAGCGAGCCCGTGGAGGCACCTCCCGAGCGCCGCGCCGCCGCGGCAGTCGGGGAGCGCGGACGACGATTTGACCGCCGCAGCGAGCGCCAGCCTGTTGGGGCGAAGTCCCCGGGCCAGCATCCACCGGAGGAGGGAGGTGCACCCGTAGTGGTCCCCTCCCACTGCGCGCTCCCTGAGCAGCGCGCTGCACCGCATGCGGTCGTCCAGGGCAGGCACTGCATCGAACACGTCGGGCGCACCACCACCGCTTGTGGCTGCGGCTGCGGCGCGGAGGTGGTGGGAGAGCCGCCACTGCCCCCTGCGGAGCGTGGCGTCGGCATAATGGCGACCCGGCGGCCTTGCGAGAGGGAACATAAGCATAGCCCCTTATATCACCAGTATTAATTTCCATGACTGCAACACATAAACAAATCATTGATGCAATGAAAATGTGACCATCTCGTTAAATAATCTCATGGTACGTGATGCAAACTTTATTTTTCAGCTTCTCGAACAGCAGGCCACAAGATCACCATAAACTTCAATGTAGTACTACCTCCGTTTCAGGTTATAAGACTTTTTAGCATTGCCCACATTCATATAGATGTCAATGAATCTAGGCACACATATATGTCTAGATTCATTAATATATGTCTAGATTCATTAACATATATATGAATGTGGGCAATGCTAGAAAGTCTTATAATATGAAACGGAGGAAGTACCAAATTGTCAATCATCTCAACAACACAACTCACACAAGAACACCAGAAATGCCACAAACTATCATTATAGAGGAAAAAATCAACTTGACCTATGCACTAATTTGCTTGAATATTAATGCTAAAACCGATCATACACACATCAAGTCAGGTACAGCCATGACTCATGTACGATTTTTTTTAAAAAAAAATAGCACTTCTTCCCTCAGCATAAGCATCTCAATATGTTATTCCCTCATACATGTACACTGAAAAAACTATGAGTGGACATATTTTGTAAATATATCCTTATGACCAATTAAGAAGGACTCAGCAGATTCATTTACATATGGAGCATTCATATTGTGGCAGCTTTAATTATAAACATGTAGAGAAAAGTGATAAAAAGTTAAGTCATTTCCCCCTTGCAGATTAATTGTTCAGAACTTGAGAGATCAAATATCTAAGTGCACGTTGGAAACGTACGAGATCAAGTATATAAGAAGGATAAGCAAAAACTGTATTTTGGTTGATTCTAAAATATACTATTTAAGAACCGAATCTTAGTTGATCATGATGGCAGAAAAACCATGGTCGGAGCTACTCTGCCTAGACTCAACTGAACAACAAACTTAAGATCCCCTGCAGGTAAATATTTGAGAACTTTCATCTATACTGAAGAAAGCCACAAACTCATATCAGCGGCGGATCCAACTTGGGACATGGGGGTTTGGGTGAAGAAACAAACTGTTATTACTTGAATTAAGAGAGGTTTAAGGCTATCAAATTAAGGAGGAGGAAAAGAGCTTCTTCCAGATCTAGAAGAGAAGCTAGTAGGGTTCACGAACGCAAGCAAATTCCAGTCCCGGTGGGGTGGGAGAGAGAGAGAGATGAATCAGAAAGGGCACGCGGATGCTCACCAGGATCCCCTCCCCTCCGCTGCTCTGCTCGTCTCGCCGCCCGGCCCTCCCCTGTTCGTCTTGGCGGCGGCACAAGGAGCGGAGGAGACTTAGATTTTTCTTTTTCTTTTACGCGATACCCGCCCTTTTCTCAATATTTTTAGAGTAAATTGCACTATGGTATAGTAAGTTACATTATGAAAAAGAAGGAACTATTACCCAAGTTGCATAATGAACCATGTCTATACCAAACTTTTCACTTAACATTGCTTGGACCAGGTATAGCAATCTAGGTTTTTCACTGCCAGCGCGGCTCCAACATCGCGTTTACTTAGTAGAGAGATGAAGTGGCTCTCGTAGGGCGGGCTCAAGGCCGACGTCGACAACGCCGGAGGAGATTGTGCCAACAGCGTGAGTGGTGGACGGCAAGTACCAATCCCTATTAGCCAATCCATTATCCAGCCTCACACCCTCGCCGACGCGCTGTCGGGCGCGGTGAACCATCCACTCCGAAGCATGGCGGCAGCCGGCAGGTAATGCCAGGCATACTGGCAATGGCGTTGATCTTCTTGTAATGCTAGTGTGAGCTGCATCATGAACTGAATAAGGCCACGCTGCGAATTAAGTGGCAATGTCTTCTACTTCGTGCGCTTCCACCATCGATCTACAGCCTGCATAACATCCTGTTAATCATATCATCCGTTGCTTCTGCCCAAATGAAAATCGTAATCCCGTTACCTGTCCCGGTCCGGCAGCGGCGCCAACAGCCACTGGAGGTGGAGGCTGGGAAAATAACCGAGAAAGCAAGCATGAATCAATCCATTAACTCCTCCCAAATGTATGTGGCTCTAATCTTTCTCTAAGCTGTACTGTCCTGTGCTCCTGGCCACCGCCTCCTCTCCTAACTTCACCAGCGCCGCCGATCCCCTTTCTGGTTTGCGTGATGATCGAGGCTCGCTCGAGCTTATCGTGATGTTAATTACATGGCTGGAGTAGAAAAGTCATCTTAGCAGCCAGCCCAACTCTCTCAGCCTGGTCCATGTTGCAAATAATTGCAAAGATATATGGCCTAAATTGAAAAGACTAACCATGACCTGGTCCATTGTGAAACAATGGTCAATTCAGTCAATATTTTTATTATTTTAAAACTAGCTAGGACTATTTCTTTATATAACTGGTGACCCATGTATCATCAATACTTAAGAAAAAATTAAGTGATTGTGTCGACAACAAATTCTTCATACCACCAGCAACCACTAACTGCACCGCCATCACCGCTCTTTCTCCATGAGCCACCATCGTTCCTCCTCTTTGCCTTTACATGCGCAGCCTTACCCTTTAGTAACCGACAAATCTTTTTCTCCTCTCCTATCGTGATGCACACTATTGTTATGGTTGCTGTTGAGGTCGGGGATGTCGGGCTTACATGGACTTTGGGAGGTAGGAGCTGACCTAACAAAGAGCGAAGGAACTATATCTAGGCTCCTTGCTAGATCTATCGGTTATCCAACTATCGGAGGGAAAAAGAAAATGGAGAGAGAGAGAGATAGTTAATGTGCGGAGTAATTGCTGAGTCACCGGACTTGGAGATGGATAGAATAAGGTGGTCCAAATTGAAATGTAAAGTTAGCTATTGTGTAAATATAAAGAATGGTTAAAGAATAACATTATATGAAGCTTTTAAGAATTTTTAAGAATACGTAGTATGGACTGTAATTTACTCCCTTTGTCCCACAAAAAATGAATCTAGAACTGGTGTGGCATATTCTAGTACAATAAATCTGAACATATGCATGTCTAGATTTATTTTACTAGGATGTGTCACATCCAGTTCTAGGTTGGTTTTTTATGGGATGGAAGGAGTACTTTTTTCTCTAGCACAATTAAAGATAATTGTCCATTACCCGATAGTCTTGTGATATGCTAAGTATGGTTGGGTCGGTGTACTTAGCTATAACTAATAATCTCATGATATATTGATGCATGACGATACAGACTTCTACTCACACGGGCTAATTAATTATGGTTAGATAGATTCCTCTAAAAGATGATAAAAATAATACCATCATTTTTGCTCAATAATAAAGCATTCGACTATGGTCTTCTTTTCTCATTGCATGATATATGATGACTACATTAGTAGGTATTTCCATAATTCTTTCATATTGTTTTTTATTTTCTACATATATGTTAATTTGAACTAATATTTTTCTCATAATTAAATAGATAATAAATCATTTTCCATATTTCTCCTATAAAATGAGAATAGGGTATTTTATATTTTGAAAATTATATTATAAGTGTATGTAATTTAATGTGTAAGATATGGACTTATAGTATAAGATTTAACTTTTTTCTAAAATTGCCGCATCATAGTAGATAGGTAGTTAACCGAACAACTATAAAAAACAGAGACAATTCATTGTGTGTCACTGATTTTGTCCTTGCTCTACAATATGTCGTTGGGTTTCTCAAGTTCTAATATGGCATCACATTTTACTTAACTTCTATAATATACCATTGTCATCTAGTTGGCCTCAGTTAGCATTATACAATTTTATCATACAGATAGTAAAACTTACAAAGTTTGAGATGGGCAACTTCTCTGTCTCGTTTATAATATGATATTTCGGAATTTTCGGCCAAATTTTGGAAATTTTTTTCCTAGGGATATTTCGATCATTAGGACAAAATTAAGTACTAATGGAATTTAAATGGACGGTGATGGTATATTATAGAATTTAAGCAAAATACAATGACATACTGTAGAACTTAACAAACTCAGTGGTATATTATAGAACAGGGACAAAGTCAGCGGCACACGATGGATTCTCTCTAAAAAATAATCTAGTTGAATTGTTTCTTTTTTATTCAAAACAAAACATTATTACCTAAATATGTTCAAAGAACTTCGAAAGAAGTAAGAAAAAGAGGAGGTTAGTCACTAGCGCAAACACATGAGGGTGGTTGCTCACATTCATGGTATGGTATATACTCACATTAATCGATAATATACTAATATTATTAAAATTGTTCTTTGTAGTAAATGGTGTGAAACTAAAAACTTTAACCTTATATTCTATTCTTCTGTTGTTTCATCTTCTTCTTGTTTTCTCATTCTTTTTTATTTTTGATAATAATATTACTACAACCAGCACTATTACTTGCACATGAATACTACTCCCTCCGTCTCTAAATATAAGAGATTTTGGTTAGATGTGACACATTCTAGTACAATGAATCTAGACATAAAGCCTGTCCAGATTTGCTGTACTAGGATACGTTACATCCAACTAAAATCCCTTATATTTAGGAACGGAGGGAGTAGCAACTAGCTCATGTGTGTGTGCTCCATAATATATATTATCTATGTTTTTACATGAGGAAACAATAACTATTATCTTTGTTAATGATATTATATTTATAAAAGGTATTTGACTAGTTTTTTTAAGAGAAAGATACTTTTGCTAAACATTATCTAGAATGCTATAAAAGTTAATAATATTAAACGATATAGTCATATTTTTTTTTGGATGAACTAGTGATCAACACTTGTTATGAATCCAATAATCATAATGCACTATATATATTGTTCGAGTGAGTTATGACATTCACTATTTACTAGTTACTCCCTCCATTCCTAATTGATCATCATATATTTTTTTAGAATATTTCCAAATGATCATCATATTTGTATTCATTCATTAAGTCTATTCGTTATTTGTGCATTCGATAAATGTACATTGATATCCATGCACACAAGTATTTATAACCATTATACAATGTTTTGATTTGCACAAAGTATTTATAACCATCATGCAATGTTTTGATTTGCTATTGGCTAGGAAATAATGGGATGGTACATGCATCGAGTTTGTTATCCGAGTAAATGCGAGAAGACTAATTAGCGCGTACGCGCGAGATGAGTTACTGGCGCGCACGGACATGTGTCGTTAGTGTAACGCACGAGCGGTGCTATGGAAAAAACCGATACAAAAAAAAGCGATTAGCATTTGGACTAGCTTGGTTAGTTCTGGATTTGTTTTCTTTTCCCGGATAATTAGGCATAATCAATGTTGTTTTTTTTGTAACTTTTCAAATATAATTTAAGTCTTTCGATTACCCAAAGTTAGAAACTTCATATTCCAAATTGAAAACTTTCAACACTAATTTGAAACTTTCAACTCATATTTGCAAACTTTCAAGTTAAGATTTGAAAACTTTTAACTAAAATTTAAAAACTTTCAACTTAAATTTCAATTATTTAAAAAAAATCAACTTAAAATTTAAAACTTTCAACTCGGATTTTTAAACTTTCAAGTCAAAATTTTAAAACTTTCAACTCAAATTTGAAAATTTTCAACTTAAATTTAAAAACTTTCAACTTAAACCATGAATTCTTTATTCATATTTGAAATTTTGGTGTATCCATATAATATGATGATCAATTAGGAACGGAGGGAGTACATGCCTATACATCATATAAACCTTATAGTTTTTGCCTACAAGTTTTGCCCATGGTACTGTTTTACTATACTACTGTTCAGCCAACAGCTAGTCAGCGTGTCTACTTCGTCTGATCTGCCACGCGTCAACGATCCGTCCCCTCTTGTGTGATCTGCCACGCGTCAACTATCCGTCCCCTCTTGTCTGATCTGCCACGCGTCAACGATCCGTCTCCTCTTCTGCTTCTACCCTCCCATGAGGTCGCGATTAGTTTCTCCTTTGGTTTCCCTGTCGATCCCCTTCCGCGCTACCTATTCTTCTTCGCCGCCGCCTGCTAGGGTTCCTGCTTCGTCGCGGCCAACGCCACTGCCGTCCACCGCCATTCTTGACCGCCGCGGCTGGCCGGGTGAGCTTCTTCTACGCCCCCGGTGACCATCTCGCGTCGCTCCTCCGGCATCTCTTCAGCACCTCCACTCCCCTCGACCTCGCGGGGCTGGATCCGGAGTCGCTGCCTTCTTCTCAGGCTTTCAGGGCCAGCCGTCGCTGTCTCCGTGCAGGGCCAGTGATCACCATCGTTGCTTCCCATCGTGCTAGGTGCGGATGCCGGTGTCTTCTTGCGGGTCACAGTGTTAACTGTAGCCGTTGTTTTATCTCCTCCCTGCATTCCTCGCAGGCTTGGTTTTGCAAGATTTATGGTGCATCGACCGCCCATAAGCACGTGGTAAC